TAGTTGAAAAGTATGATGCAATGAAATCTGTGTTCTACAAGAGGCTGCTGAATGCTTTCGGCAAGCTGCAGGCCGCTGCTGCTCCTATAGTAGAGGGGGCCAGTACCAGTGAGCATGCACAGGCTGCCAAAGACTACGTTGATGGAGTGCACACCAAGCCTGAGTTCCAAGCCATCGTCAAGATTGCCAGGTGAGTGTTCACCGAGGAACTATCCTTGCTGCAAATGTCCTGTATTATTGAACACATCAACTACACATTTTCTGTGAAATGACAATTTCTATTGAGAATACACTTACACATAAAATGTAAGGTTTTTTTCTAGGCAATGGATGAATCTTTTTATTATGGAGATTTCTTTAAATAATCTGTCTTCCCTGATTTGTGCAGTGGTCTGGGCCAGGAGGTGAGTCCCTTGGTGGACAAGGCCCGTACATCATTGCTGGGTCTGTACGGACATTACCTCCGCCCCTACGTCGGCGAATCCATGAGCAACACCATCGACATGATCAAGGTCCACCTGGACAAATACCTGCCCGCAGAGTAAAGAAGACCAACTGGAGCAACCTGTCAGTAGCCTGTAATAGATACTAGATCATAGAAACTACATCAGTTTAGGCCAAGAAGAGCGATGCACAATGCAAACACAATCCTTTGCCTTTTCAAATAATAATTTGTGGCAAATCATGCAGAGTTAAAAGCAAAGCGAACACCAGCTATGCAAATTGTGCATGTACAGTATTATGTGTTTGATACACTAACCAAAGTCTCTGAGTGATTGTGAATGTATTTGTGTGATTGTGTTCATTAAAATGAACGGAAACTATATGAAATGTGCTTCTTCATCAAGAGATTGAAGGTTTACTTCCACAGTTGGTATCATAAAGCTTCATTTTGTGGCATAAGTCATCCATACTATCAATACTATTGTATGAGCGAACAAAAGTTCAGCTTCCACTAATCACTGCTTTCATCATAGCTCATACCTCAATCTTATCGCAATCAAAGTTATTTAAAAAACGAAAAAAAAAACATCTTAATTTGTTGCCATACACATGAAGATCTTCCATTCAAAGATTATGAGGCGTTTCTTTAACATCAGCTGCAATTCTGATAAAGAAAGTGTTGCACCAGTAAACACAGAAAGATCAAGTTGTATTTTTTAAAAGTATATTTTTAAAACCAGAGCTCTTCTCAATCTCAGTTTGGGCCCAACAAGTTAAATGGTGAATGCCAGCAACCTGTTTATTCCTATGCTGCATTTATTAATGTGCTTCAATCATCAAAGTGCAAAACCACAGGGATTATTCCTCCAAGAGTCATATTTACTGGGAATGAAGGAGTTGAAGACATCTTCTCAGTTTTGTTACAGTGAGCAATGAATCACAACTCAATGAAGCATTTATTTTATTTTCTGTTAATAGACGTTACCAGCTGGCCAAGCCTGAGGTCACTTTGAATGATGGCATGCAGTGTGAGAGCAGCAGGATGTGCTATTCTTAATTTCCGCCTCATTTCAGACATTCTGGTGGTTATAACTTTCTAAGCATTTCGATTAATTATAAAACATATCTCTACTGTGTAATTACAGAGTTCTAGACGTGACACAACAAAACTGAGATATACATCTGTGTCTTTGTCATCGTAAGCACCGACAGCTCAATTATGCAGTTTAATGTCGTCTCTAGCAGACATCACAGCACTGAATCAGCTGGATTCAATGAAAACCGCAAGCTGTCTGATAGTTTAAATCCCACAGCTGGCCACAGCTGTGCTTAAACTGACCCCGGGTCACAAGCAACATGACACGAGAGGTTGGATCATGTTTACGTAAGACTCGATCAACATGTAGCCATTACAGAGAAAATTACTTCTAAAACCCGAAAACATGAGATTAGAACTGCGACTTCACTGTCGCTATTTGAACTAAGGAGAAAAGTTTTCATGGAAAAAGAACCTGCTCAGTTTTTTTTAATTAACAAGATACCTCAACCATAGGTGCGAAAAGCTCTCACTTAGGAATGCCATTTAAGTAATTTGAATAAGTAAATAGATAATTAAATATGCCTATGATATTTTTAAATAATTCCTGAAGTAAACAAATGAAGCAATTAACATAAATAAAATTCATGAGCCAATAAATTTCAATGAATATATAAATAGCTTGGCTCAAAAGTAATTGGACAATTGTCTGACAAACGGTTTCTTGGCCAGGTGTGGCCTTTTCTGTCACTATTTCATGACAAATGATGCAGATAATAGGATTCAAAATGTTACTTGTCAATACAAGTGAAGGAGGCCATTATTAGGTTGAAAAAAACTTAACAAACCTATCAGAAAGATAGCAGAAACATTAGGATTGCATTGACAAGCTAACCAACACCAAAAGGCCCATAAGACCACGGAAGACATCTAAAGTGGATGAACGCAGAATTCTTTCCTTGGTGAAGAAAAACCCTTCATAACATCTACTGAAGTCAAGAACACTCTGGAGGAGGTAGGTGTGCTATTGTTAAAGTCTACAATTAAGAGACGCCTTCATGAATCTAAATACAGAGGGTTTACAACAAGGTGCAAACCACTGGTAACACTGAAGAACATGAAGGCCCGATTAGACTTTACCAGAAAACATCTAAAAAAAGCCTGACTAGTTTGGGAACAAGATTCTTTGGACAGATGAAACCAAGATGAACTTGTACCAGAATGATGGGGAGACAAAAGTGTGGAGAAGGAAAGGAACGGCTCATGATCTGAAACAAACCACATCCTCTGTCTAACATGGTGGAGGCACTGTTATGGCATGGGCATGTATGGCTGCCAATGGAACTGGGTCACTGGTGTTCATTGGTGATGTCACAGCTGATAGAAGTAGCAGGATGAGTTTTGAGGTGTTTAAGGCTATACTGTCTGCTCAGATTCAGCCTAATGCTACAAAACTGATTGGATGGCACCTCACAGTGCAGATGGATTATGTGAACACAACCCAAGAGCTTCTCAAGGCAAAGGAATGGAATATTCTTCAATTGGCGAAGAAAGTCACCTGATCTAAACCCAAGTGAGCAGGCTTTTCACCTACTTAAGATAAAACTGAAGGCAGAAAGACCCACAAACAGGCTGAAACTGAAGGAGGCTGCAGTAAAAGGCCTCGCAAAGCATCTCCAGGGGAAAAAACTTTCCACGTTTCTGGTGATGTCTATGGGTGCCAGACTTCAGGCAGTCATTGACTGCAAAGGATTTTCCTCAAAGTATTAAAAATAATGATTATATCCACAATTATGTTAGTTTGTCCAATTACTTCTGAGTCTCTGAAAATGTGGGGAACTGTGTAAAAATGGCTGTAATTCCTAAACGGTCATTGTGATATTTTGTTTTATCCATTGAATTAAAGCTGAACGTCTACACTTCAACCACATATCGACTGCTTCATTTCAAATCCACTGGAGTCGTGTAAAGAGGCAAAATTAGAAACATTGTGTCACAGTCCAAATACTTATGGCCCTGACTGTAATTATTGTGCTGTTGTTTTGGTCTGAATCTGTGCGATAACCACACCCCATTAATTTTAATATAAAAGATGGAAAGAAAAAGGGCTAGGAAATAAATGTGGCAATTGGAAATAAAAGTTCCCTGAGATTAACAAAAGTAGTATTTTTGTTAAATAAAAAACTATTTATTTATTTATCAAATGATGTTCTCTCATTTATACATTTGTAATTACATTATCTTATACAATAATATATGTATTGGCTCATTAATGTATATGAGGATTTATTTTATAGGCATATTTAATTAATTATTTATGTATTTATGCAAAATTGACTTAAATTGATTCCAGAAGTGCAGTTTCTCACAAGATCTTAAAGGATCCGAAAAAAGAGGAGAGTCAGATTTTTTGTAATAAAAACTTTTCTAAGAATTCTGAGATAATAGTCTTTTCAGAAAAATGGAGTAAATGTTTTTTTCCCCGAATGAATGCATTACGCCTCTGTACAAATCTTCTGCCATGGCAAACAAAAAGGTTTTTGCACTGGAGTCCAAATATTTACCAACCTCAAGGCTGAAGAGACAAAACAGTCAAAGATAAAAATCAACAAATTGACTAAAAATGCATTCATTCAAAAAAACATCAAAATAATTTAAAATTAATTAACAAACATTAAGTATTATTACTATATAAAATAAATAACAATTGTATGAGCACACCACGAACAACACGAAATTTCACGAAACCAAAAGGTCTGCACTTTGTACTCCTGGTTTCAAATTGCGTAAAAAAAAAGAAAACATTTTTTTCGCCAACAAATCTTGCTAAACTGCTAAACCAATTGTTTCTCCATTTCTGATTATGCCACTGATAATTGAAAAACAAGTGGAAGAGAGAACATAAAAATAACCCCAAACAACCTTTCATACAAAAAGAGCTGCAAGGTGTCTTTTAACTGTTGCCAAATAAATATTGACCTAATATGACCTAAATATTTCATAATCCGAATTAGCCGGATGACGTGTTCAACACACTCTAGACTTAGTGCCATCTTAGTAGGACTTAGGACTATTGTAATGTCACATGAACGCATCACCAACATTGGGCAAGTAACAAGTGCCTCCTCGTGGAGGTTGTGGTCAGGGCAATGTGTAAGAGTGTGCTGCTTTAATGAACTGCTAACATAATCAATGGAAAATAATTGATCTGGGTGTATTCAAAGGTAGCGTGCAGACAGAGTTAATGATAAATGTACCAACATGATGCCCCCCTTCAGCCCCTATGTTTATAATATCCAATCAGTGGCTTTTGATGAAGTTTAAAGCCCCTTTATTTTCAGATTCTTGTGTTTACATAGATAGCCATAACGTCTGTTTTATCAAGACGGAATGTCACACACACTCACACAAACACACACCAGGCAACAGTGTGCAGGTTTATCTTCCACAGAGTGCACTTTGGCCCTGGGAGCAACATGTCAACACATGCTCGCTCCTATATAAACAGGCTGGGCCATTGGTGCCTCTTCCTCTGTTTTCTGAAGAGTAATACAGTGAGTACTGCCACTTTTACTTCAGTCTTAGAAAAGCATGACTTTTATGTTAGATATGACAAAATTTCTGGGAAAATGTATTATTTACGACATAACATGTATGTTCAACATAATTCTAAAGCAGAAATGTGTTTTCGTTTTTAGGTTAGAAGAGTAGAAAATGTATGGCAATGTCTCGCCCTAGTGGATGAAGTGAGGTTAGCTTTTAAATGTGTCTTTCTATTCTCTGTCCTCATAGATACGAGTGACAGCATGAATAAGCTGCTGGGCATTACTGTGCTGGTTGCACTCCTCGCTGTCAGTAAGTGCATTCTCAGACCATGAAATTGAATTCCGAATAGGATAAATCAGTGATGAATTATATATATTGCTTTACTGACAAAACGTGGTACCGTTTTTGACGCCTCTGACTTGTTTTGTGCAGGCGCTGAAAGCTTCCGTATGCCGAGGCAGGCTGAGGAGGAGCAGGAGCTGGGCACCCTGACCAAGATCACAGACGGCATCAAGTCCTACTATGACAGTGCCGTCAACACGGCCAGTGGATACCTGGAGAACATCAAGGGCATGAAGCTGGAGGAGAAGGCAAAGTAAGAGATTTTAAACACAGATTCATTGATGCAGTTATAAAAAGCGTGGCTTCATAAATAAACCCTTCTCTTTCTGTGTGTCTCCCACAGGACCCTTTACACTGATACTACCATAGTCTTGAGCACCTACGCTGGCATTGCACAAGACCAGCTGTATCACATCTTTTACCAAAAATAAAAAAAGTGAACTCCAATTACCTCATCTACCTTGTCTGGCAGCGTGAAAACTTTCAAGCTCCACACGATAAGGCCCATTTTTGACATTCTGAACTTGCTCGTATCTCACCTCACCCAAGCCTTAGAACCTACAAAAGGCATCTTAAAAAAAGGTGGACCTCTTGCTCTTTGTGGCGCTTACTTGGGCCACTGCACTGGCGGTAAATAAAGATAACCAACTAACAGGGACTGTGATCTTTTGAAAAAACAACAGCTGTCAGAGGAACAAGTTGGTGGCAAAGGAGCTCACAACACCTTGTCAAGTACCAACACATTTCTCCCTGGATCTCAGAGCTTAGAAACAACCAGCCATCAAAATAATACAAATAATTGAATGATCTATCGCCACCTACTGGTGTTTTCAGTCATCCCTCAGCTGGATAAATTTAAATATTTGTGTCATATCTTGAAATAAAATATTTATACAAAAAAAACTTGTGTCTGTGGTGGGTGAATTGAGTTTACAGTTTAATATAGTAAATTGTGTAAGACCTGCATTTCCTTTAATCTGACTGATGCAAAGGATCACATGTTTATGTCTGTATGAATCTGCAACGAGTCGCCATGCTTTTATCAGCGGAGGCAGCATCAGAACAGAGGCTTCTGTTGCAATTAATAATGGATGAAAATAAACAGCATGTAATGCGTGAGCGCAGAGAAACCGACAGAGATGAATAAACAACATCTGCTGAGGATTCTGACAAGTAGTGATGCAAGGATGTTACGGTTTTTAATTAGTTCATAAATCTACAACATGTGGCCTCTTCTTAAGCTACAACCAAAACAAACAAGAGAGATATATTTGCTTTCAAGCATCATCTTGTATAGTTGTTACAAAATATGTATGCGGCGGCCAACAGACGCAGGACAAATTACACAAAACACTCCTACTGCGGCTATACAACTCAGATTATACACGTAGATAAATAAGTTATAGTGCCACATGCAAATCCTTGTGTTTGCAGCCCTGTTGGTATTTGTTTCAGGATGTGGATCAATTTGAGATTCACAATGTGTGTCAAATGTTTTCTCTCAGCTGCCGACTGTGATCAGATTTGGCTTTGACACTAATATGATTTCATCCGTGGGCATCTGCAGCTGCTGCAAAGCAGAGAAAAAACAATTCTCTACATCGCACAGCAAGAGAAGAAGACTGCTCCGGCAATCAAAACTTACGGAGTGTCCCTGAAACGTGGTTTGATTATTTGGATTCCCATCTCAGACTGGTTTTGGGTGCGTTTCCTTCTTTAATTAGAGCTGTTCATTCGAATGTTTTTATAGCTGTCACACTTTAAAAGGATGGTACTTTAAAGTGACTCTATACATCCAGTGGTGCTGGGAAGGAATGAGTAGGAGTCATCATTTGCTCATTTGCTCTGTTGCACATCTGGACCTTTTGAGTGAGTGTAGACATGGGTAAGAATGTATGTGTGAGTGGGCTGATATTGACAATTACTTTCATCAATATCATCAAACTAAAATTGAGAAATCAAAATCTAGTTTGACTTATGATGACCCGTCTTTGTTTTCTTATGATAAGAACCAAACATTTCAACTAACAGATATATGAGTATCTACAGTATTTGTTCTATCTATCCCAGTTGATTGCTAACATTGAGACAATTATACGTTTTTTTTAATTCTATGTTTAAATATGGGAATCGGGCATCAGGAGAAATCTACAGATGCAATTAGACAAAGTGTAGTAAAATTAACACTTAATGTGTATTTTGGATGTTTTCTCTCCACTAGTCTGAAAAAAACCCATTATGCTGGAAGCAAAATGGCCCAAAATCTGAAAATTGTGCAGTGTCTCGCCTCAAGGCTCCACCAACACTATTCTTGATGCATAACTGCTACAAAGAACATGACAATAGACAATGTTTTACACATGATTACCCCTTGTTTATGTATGTTGGTATACTTGGTATGTTGATAAATGACAATTAGTTATCCCCAAATACAAAACGTATATTTTAAAACATACAGTTATGTATAGAGCTTCTGTGGAATTGAACAAGTTATCAAACAATATTAGAGAAAGTGCTATACTTTTAGAAACAAATGCAGATATACCCAAAGCAGACTATGACTGACTCTTGTAGTCTTAGTGTTGATGTTTGGTTGTTTTCTTTTAATTATAATCTTTATTCTGTTGTTATTACGTGTTAATTTGATAAATTTGATGTAATTATTGATAGTTTTGGACCTTGCTATCATGGTTGTATTAAAGTTTTATTTGGATATCTTTTAATATGTGGACCCCAGGAAGATTAGTGAGTGCTATGGCAGAAGCAAATGGCTAACCGATGAAATAAACTAAATAAATAAACAGACTTTTCTCTTTGTATACAACAATAAAAGACAAGGACATAATATGGAAAACATTAATAATACATGACATATTGGGAGGTATTTGGGGTCAACAAAACGATCACGTAAAAATGTAACCAATTGTTTTTTTGCCTGAGTTGAACTGCAATCAATAGAAAAAGCTGAGCTCATGAAACTTTAACCAGCTTTACATTGTGCCACTACCTTAGTAATAAGTCAAAAAGACAATATTTATCAATGGAAAAAAAATATTCTTAAACTTATTTTTAGAGACTCAAAGGGGACGAGAATACTATTATCATTTATTATTATATAATATTATAATATTATTATTACAAATATCTTGGTTTCCCAAAAGGGCAATATGAGTTGTGCAATCTGTGATGTTTTAAGACAATCCAATCCTCTTAAAATTGCACCATGGTAAACTATTAACTTTCTAAACAGCAGCATGGGCATAATGTCTCCACCCATATCTCCTTTATTAGTACAAAGGAGATATGCTGCAAAAGCTTTGCTCATTTATCTACGCTACAAAAGCTTTGCTCATTTATCTATGCTACAAAAGCTTTGCTCATTTATCTATGACACCATTATGTATTTTAGCGTGCACTTAGCACAAACTATAAAAAATGGCTTTTTAATATATAGAAGCTAAAAGTATCTGTGCACAGCAGATTTTTGCTATGAAACCAAAACACAGAAACTGTAACTGGAATTTATTATGTCTGAACATTATCTTTCATTTACCATAAACAAGGCTCTTTCTTGTTCCTTGAAAATAAAGTGTTACAGTATATGAGAAAATATGTTATGGTATCATGTGAAGTTTTAAAGAATGTAAAACTGATTTGTGGAACACAGACAGACACAGAACAGCAGTTCTGCACATGATTTTAATTCGTTTTGAATCCAGGTGTCCATTATCTTTTCTCCCACTAGGGTGAGAAGTGAAAAGACACTGTGTCTTTGTTGGTAAGACAAAGACACAGAGAGACCTTGACTCCGGAACTGAATGTCCGCAGAAACAGACAGCCTGTGTCTGAAATACCCATACTCCCCTTTTGACACATTATCTGAAGTTGTAAAGGCGTGAACCTTTGTATGCATAAATGATGTTGAATATTGTATTTCGTAGACGTTTTCACACAGTCTACTGAATACGTAGCCGCTGTGTTTCCTTCCCTCTTGCAAGAGAATAAATGGAAAAAGACAACTTTGAATCTTCTGATGACTTCATTATTGATTTGTGAACAAAAACTCTCTTCTCCCGATTGACCTGGAAATTTTCCACCACAGGTGTGTCACTCTCACAGAACATACTGTTTAGCGGAGGTGTTGGAACATATCTCTGATAAGGTTATCGCAAAGCTTGGACTGGAAATGATGCTGGATAGTAATAAAGCAGTCTGTTCCTCCCACTTCCCTCAAAAAAACTTGCAGGTATAAAGAATCCAGACTATTCAAACATCACACACTCTCAGAGCTACAGAGAAACATTACAAAAGCAACACGGATACAACATGAATCTTCTCCTGCTGGTGGTTGCTTTGGGGCTCACAGGTAGATATTTACCATGTTGTGTCTAAAATAAAACAAATTGATGTCAGAATAGCCATTTAGTTTCTCTTTGATCTTGTCGCTGTGTTACAGGAGCGTCTCCCCTGCAGGACTACAAGGTGTGCCAGCCTCACTCCAGACCCTGGCAGGTCTATCTGCATGGTGGTGGAGTGTCCTGCAGTGGAGCTCTCATTGATAAATCGTGGATAGTGACCTCCTTTGACTGTGCACCCAGGTACTAGTGATTATTAGTGCCAAATTAAAACTTACTGTGATGATGACTCTTCTAAAATAATTAAAAAAACTTTAAAAAAAACAACCAGTAATGGGATATACTGTGTTTTCATCCTAATAGCAGCACTGCAATTGAATGTGCTTCCAATTTCCCCAAAGTACCAGCAGTAAAATCCTATTTGGGCTTGGTAAGACCTGGCTGAGGTGTTTCTGCTTTGTTAAAATTCAACAATGTCTTATTTAACAAGCATTTTATATTTTACCTGTAATATAGTCGCTGACGCCTTTTCAGCAGAACCATCACACTTCAGCCTCTCCAGCATCGGGCACAATTCTCCTGGAGAGATAAAAACCAAAAGCAGCTAGTCATAAATAGGCTTGGCCAGCTGTTTTTATAATTTTGCATCCCTTCACTGCTGTGCTATTGCATCGTAATAAATCATGTCTAAAGACATCACATAATTTGTCTTGACAAGTCAATCAGCAAGGCATGTTTTGGGTAGTCATTGTTACAAAGACTTGATATTGTTTGCAGTCCCACTGCACATTTCACTCGTGTTCCTCCTTAATTAAATTATCCTGCTGCTCATGTCTGATTAATGTTACTGTTCCTCAGTCATGAATCTGTTTCTGCCTGAGCTTGATACATTACAGTCTCTCTTCCACTGTCCTTGCAGATCCTACAGCACCATCGCATCTCTTGGGGTACATGACGTGACTGTGGATGAGGGCACCGAGCAACACATTTACGTTGCTGACGTTATCCGTCACAGTCCTTACTACCGCTCGCCCTTACACAGCCTGGTGATGGTCCGTCTGGCCGAACCCGCCCGCTTCACCCAGCACATCCAGCCCATTCCTCTGCCCAGCCGCTGCCCACAGCCTGGAGAGACTTGCCATGTCAGTGGCTGGGGATCCACCATCCCGAATCAATGTAAGTGGATTTAAAAGAGCTACTGTGGCTTTAACACCTCATTAACTTGTCCCCACATGAAGCAAAGCCAGTGTTCAGTAATCCAGAGATTTTTACTCCAGCTTTCTTATAAATATCTGATCAAACTAAAGGCCTCCTGTAAAGTTTTTCCTGTAATAGTTGTTGGTGTTTGGTGTTTCTCATCAAAATGCATTATGTGCATCTCTGAAGCTTGAAAAACATGTTGAATACACAGCATGGGAGGAGAGATGCCGCAGTGTATTTGAGGGGCAAAAAGGTAATCTCTGTGAAGAATGAAGTCAGACACCACAATAACATGCCAAATATGCTGTCTGTGTTGTTTTATAGAATTGAGTTTAAGATGTTCTAAAC